CTTCGCTAACTGCTTGTTCCCGCAAATGATTCTTTTGACTTGGCTTTTAGGCATACTTCCTTCTCATCTTCCAATTTTTTCTTCTGAGATTTTTTTTTTGTAAGGATCTTTTTCTTGATTGTCTTCAGGCAAAGAAAATATTGTTGGAATTGCAGTTTGTTTTAAATATCGAATACCCCATCTGATGTCAAGAGAGTCAGGTGTGAAATGGTCACTACACAGGAACTGGTATTTACTGGGAATCCATGAATCTTGTTTCATATTCTTTAACCATTTTTCAAGTCTTTCTTTGTCATCCAGAGGAAATGGATAGAAACTCAGCTTCTGGTCTTTATTGTTTCATCTCTGGCGATTCTTACAGCAAATCGCTGTGCAATAGCGCGGCATTGCTGAGATGAGGTCCAGGACAATGTAGGCCTGATGGGGGCGCAGACCAGCCCTTTTCGCTGAGGCGGGGCAGTAGGGTCAAGCATCCTGAACCACTGCGCATGCGCCAGTACCCGCCCAAGGGAAAGCCGCCGCTAACCTCCCTGCGCCCAGCATTTTTAAGCCACCAGGCCCTGGGACGCGAACCATGGTTGACTACATTATGCTAACTGCTGGTCCCTTCAAATAAGTTTTTTAATTTCAAGAAAAGCAGTTTTAGCTTTAATAAATCAAAATTTCAAAAAATGAAGATAAATTTGCTAATGACTTAAAGCCAGGAAACCAGTTAGGATTCTGTTCAAATAGTAGGTACATGAACCTAGCAGCAGCTCAAGAGAAGACCAAAATCTTGGGACCAGCAGTTAGCGTAATGGCTATGTTGCTGGACTCCCACATAATCGACAGCGATTTGCATCCTTGACCCCGGGGGCTTAAAACTCACGCCAGGTGTGTGTGCGTGTGTGCCCAAGATCCCGAGAGGAGAATGGAGAAGAAGGGATTGCAGCGTGGCCATTCCCCCTGGGGGGGTGATTTCTTGCTTTCTGTCTCTGTCTGTCTGTCTGGTGAGCACACGTACCCTATAGCAAAAATGTCTCCAAAAAAAGAGAGAAGATAAAAATATTTAAATCTGGAGAAACCAAACATATAAGAAAATCAGTAATGTTTTAATAAATAGTCATAAAATTCTATTTCACCAGTTCAGTCGCATGTACTTTATCTTCTGTTGTGGCCCAATCTTTTCATTTAAATTCTGGAAGATAATGTTCAACTCTAAACTTGTCCCTACCATTAAGTTAGTCATTTTCTTAGTTGTTTTTAAACTCTTATTTCTGTGTGTCTTTATTTAGTTATCCTTGTGTAGCACTCCCTTCAGCATTTCTTGGAGAACTGGTTTGGTGTTGATACATTATTTTAGGTTTTGTTTACCTGAAAATATTCTTGTCTTTTCTTCCCATATGAAGGATAATGTTGCTGTTTATAGCATTCTTGATTGAAATTGTTTTTCATTTGATACTTTGAATATAGCCTGATGCAATATCCTTTGTAGATAACTTGACGTTTCTCTCTTACCAATTTTAATTTCTTTTCTCTATCTTGGTTTTGATCATTCTGGCTATAACGTGTCTTGGAGAAGATCTTCTTGGGTTGATTCTATTTGGAGTTCTTTGTATTTCTTGGGTCTGAATCTTTGAATCCCTCCTTAGGTTTGGAAAGTTTTCTTCCAGGATTTCATGGAATAGATTATTAATGCCTTTACTAATCTCTTCAGATTCTGGAATACAGATTATACAGAAGTTTGGATGTTTAATAGTATCTAGTATTTCTCATATATTACTCTTATTTGGAGGGCTATTTTCTCAGTCTTCATGGTGAAAATTTTTACAGCAGAGATTCTGTCATCTACATGTAAGAGTCAATCTTCTGCATGATTTAATCTGCCCTATTTTTTTTAGAGGTTTTGCTACTGGGCACATGTACTTGCTCGAATTACCAAGAGAGACAGAGAGACAGAAAGCGAGAAGTCACCCCCCCAGGGAGGAAGGCCACACCACAATCCCTTTTCCTCCATTCTCTTCTTGGGATCTTGGGCATGCATGCACATGTGCCCAGCGTGAGTTTAAGCCACCGGGTCTGGGACTTGAAGTGTGGTCAAATACATGGGAGTCCAGTGACATAGCCATTATGTGAATTGCTGGTCCCTGATCTGCTTTTAATACTTTTAATGAGGTTTTTATTTTCTATATAACAATGTTCATTTCTAACAGCTCCGTTTGAGTCTTTGTTATGTTATGTATTTCCTCTTTTAGATAGTGCAAAAACATAACAATGTTCATTTCTAACAGCTCCGTTTGATTCTTTGTTATGTTATATATTTCCTCTTTCAGATAGTGCAAAAACTTCCTCATCTGGAACTCATTGTCTCTTTTCTCCTGCATCTTCTGGAGTTCATTGTCTCTCTTCTCTTGCATCTCTTGTAGCCATGTCACTATGAATTTTTTTTCTTTTGGAGAGTTTTTTAAAATTTTTATTATTATCATTATTTGCTATAGGGCACATGCACTTGCCAGAAAGAGAGAGACAGAGACAGAAAATGAGAAATCACCCCCCAGGGAGGATGGCCACGCCTCAATCCCTTCTCCTCCATTCTCCTTTCAGGATCTTGGGCACGCATGCGCATGTACCTGGCATGAGTGTAGGCCACCGGGTCTGGGACTCAAACTGCAGTTGACTACATGAAAGTTCAGTGACATAGCCATTATGCTAACTGCTGGTCCCATGAATATTCTATTCTTTGTCAGACCTTTCCATGAATTCCATTGTACTGTCTGTGGCAGAGAGGTATTTTCTTAGTTTCCCATATTTCTTGTGCTTCTTTGGGGAGTTCTGGTCATCTGATAGGTTATATGTTTCTTCCTAATTACTTGAAGTTCAATGTGAGCATTCAGACGCATGCAGGAGGAGAATATCTGCAATCTCTCTGCACTTTCATTTTTCTCCCTTTGTGTGGCAGAGTCAATGGAAATTGAGTATTCAGATGTTTGACTACTGTTCACTTAGACCTGTCTAGACACTCAACACTTGGAGGCTGAACAACAAAGTGATGAAGGTAAAAGAAAAGTTAAAGAAAACAACATGAGAGAGGAGAAAAGGGAAAAAAAGTAAAAATTTTATTTTTTTAAAGAAAAAGCAAAAAACAGTGAAAGTGATAGTTTACAGCTCAAATGCCTTAGTCTTCTCTGAAGTCCTAAGCTTTTTCCTCTCCTAAATGAGAGGGGTGAAAGGTGAGAATTAGCAAAATAAAGGAGTATCTGAAAGTTATTTTCCTTAAAAATATATATTAAAAAAAATGAAGATAGAGAGAGACAGAAAGGATATAGTTGGCATCCTACCAGTCTATAATAGTGTCTGTAGGGTAAAGTCTCAGAAGAAAATCTTCATTAGTCTTAGTTCCTGAAAGCAATAGTTCACAGCTCAAATGCAGGAGTATTTTCTGAAGGCCTGCAGTTTTGCCTCTCCTAAATGAGAAGACAGAAAGTTGAGAATTAGCAAGATAAAAGAGGATCTGAGAGCCAAGAAAATACTTTACTTAAGAAATCAAAAAAGGTATACAAAAAATGAAAAGACAGAGAAAGACAGAGAGAGAGAGAAGAATACAGGGGATGCCTTACCACTCTAGAATGGGGTCTAGAAGTTGAAATCTCAGCAGAAAATCTTCATTAGTCTTAGTCCCTGAGAGAAACAATTTGCAGTGCAAATGCAGAAGTCTTTGAAGGCCTGTGCTATTACCTCTCGTAAATGGGAGGGGGGAACGTGAGAATTAGCAAAATAAAGGAGGATCTGAGAGACAAGAAAATAATATACCTGAAAAAAATTTTAAAAATGAAAAAAAAAGAAAAAGAAAAGACAGAGACAGAGAGAAGGATACAGGGGGTGCCTTATCACTCTAGTATGAGATCTAGAGGATGAAGTGTCAGCAGAAAATTATTAGTCTTAGTCCCTGAAAGCAATCCTTGAAATTAATATCAAGTTTAATTCCATCAAGATTAGAGAAGATGCTGGATATAGTTTCTATGCCTTTGCATCTGTGAAGGCTTGTTTTGTGCCCTTCCTGTGGTCAATCTTCAAAAAAGTTCTATGTTGGGGTGAGAAAAAAGTGTATTCTATGGTTTTTGGATAGAAGGTTCTATAGATGTCTGTTAAGTCCATTTAAGTTACGGTATCATTTAGATCTTGGATCTCTTTATTTTTTGTCTGGATAATCTGTCCAAAGGAGATAGGTGGGTGTTGAGATCCCTAACAATTCATGTGTTACACTCTGTCTCTCCTTTTAGATCTTACTGCTTTTTCTTTGCATATTTGAGTGCTCCTGAGTTGGGTGCATAGATATTTATAAGTGTTATACCTTCTTGATGGATTAGCCCTTTTATTACTATATAGTGCCCTTTGCCTCTTCTTACAGTTTTTGCTTTATAGCCTCTCTTGTCTGAAATTAGTATGAGGAATCCAGCTTTTTTTTTTTTGCTTCCCATTTGCATAAAATTCCTTTTTTTAAAAAAATAGCCCTCTACTTTTAATCTATGTATGTCTTTATCTATGATGTGTGTTTCTTGTAGGCAATAGATAGGTTTCTTTTTTTATATACCTTCAGCCAATCTGTGTCTATTGACTGG